GTCTAAAAATTTATTTCCGGAGGTCCATATCTCCGAAAAGGATAGAGGAGAGGTCAGGCGGCCCCATGATGACCTAATAGTCATCGAATGTAAAATCGCCAATCAACGAGTTGGCCGGATCTTAATTGATACCGGGAGCTCATCTGACCTCATAAGCTACCGGTGCTTAGAAAAACTCAAATATAAGCCAAGTAGCATGCATCCGGCCCCATATCCTCTTATTGGTTTTGGGGGAGGAGTAGTACATCCGGTGGGCATGGTTGACCTACCCATCCGGTTTGGAGAGAAGGGGGAGGCCCGGCACATGGTTTTCAAGTTCCTTGTTATAGGGGAACTGAGGGCCTACAACCTGATCATTGGCCGCCCAACCCTTAACATTTCAAAGGCTGTGATCATCCCGTCTCTAATGTTGATTAAATTTGAGAGGGATGATGGCATAGTCGGCTCCTTGAGTGGGAACCAAAAGACGGCGAGAGAGTGTTACCTCTCGGACGTCAAACCCACATTGGTCACAGACGATCAAAACAAGGAAGTAGTTGAACTTGACGAGTGTGATCAAGAGTTAGCGGCTACTAAGGCAGCCGGTAAAAAGAGAAAGGCGGACCAACTACTGACCCCCGTCAAAAAGAAACAATAGCAATCATTGTCAGGGGAGAGGTCAGACGACATCCGCCCCCAGCCGGCAGTGGAAATCATTGACATTATCCTAGAAGACAGCCGGCCAGACAGAAACGTCAAAGTTGGGACGGTTGCATTTGACAACTTGGGAATCGATCTGCTCTGATTGCTGAGAGAATTCAAAGATGTGTTTGCCTTTGAAGTAGAAGAAATGTCGGGAGTGTGTCCAAATCTTGTTGTTCATAAACTCGTCGTGGATCCTAAGAAGAAGTCGGTCAGGCAAAAGAAAAGGAACCATGGCGAGGAAAGGTCTCAGGCGGCAGCAGCCGAGGTCAAGAAACTTTTAGATGTCGGGTTCATTCGGCAATGCTTCTACCCGGATTGGGTAGCCAATGTTATCCTTGTGAAAAAGCCGAATGGTACCTGGCGGATGTGTGTAGATTACACGGACTTAAATAGAGCTTATCCGAAAGATAGTTACCCGCTTCCAAAGATCGACCATCTGGTCGACTCTACAGCCGGTCATGCTCTGATGAGTTTTATGGATGCCTATTCCGGCTTCCATCAGATACCCTTGTGGAATAAAGATCAAGAGAAGACGGCTTTCGTCACAGATCAAGGGTTATACTGTTATACGGTGATGCCGTTTGGGTTGAAGAATGCGTCTGCTACCTTCCAACGAATGATAAACTCGGTTTTTTATGATCAGATTGGGAGAAATGTTGAGGCATACATTGATGACATGATAGTCAAGTCCAAGTTGCAGGCGGATCATCTAGTTGACCTCCGAGAAACCTTCACCGCCCTCAGGCGACATAAAGTCATGCTTAACCCAAAAAAGTGCGTCTTTGGTGTTGAGTCTGGGAAGTTTCTCGGATTTTTGATTGACCAGAGGGGCATAGAGGCCAATCCGGACAAAGTAAAGGCGATGATTGACATGCAGTCGTCCCGTACCGTAAGGGAGGCTCAAAAGCTTACCGGTTGTCTGGCGGCATTGGGAAGATTCATCAGCCGGTCAGGTGAGAAGTGCCTCTACTTTTTTCAAGCAATCAAAAAGAGGTCAAGATTTGAATGGGGTGAAGAGGCTGAGGCGGCATTTCAGAGGCTGAAACAACACTTGCATTCTTTGCCAAGATTAGTGAGTTCCCTACCCCAGGAGGCTCTCTATATGTACTTAGCTGTCTCTGATCATTCCCTAAGTGTCGTTCTCCTTGCTGAGAGGGACGACAACCAGCTCCCGGTCTACTTCATAAGCCATGTTCTCCGGAATGCTGAACTTCGCTATCCCATGATTTAAAAATTTGGCCTAGCCTTGTACAAAGCAGTCAAGCGGCTGAAACCTTATTTCCTGGCTCATCCGGTTACCATCTATACTAATCAGCCACTCAAACGGCCTATGAACACTTTAGAGTCATCCGGAAGAATGCTTAAATGGGCCGTGGAGATTCAAAGCCTGGAAATCACTTTCGAACCTAGGCGGGCAATGAAGGGTTAGGCGTTAGCCGACTTCATTGTTGAAATGACAAGGCCGGTACAGCCGGATAATACTGATCAAGTTTGGAAAGTGTATGTAGACGGGAGCTCTACTGTGAATGGTTGTGGGGCAGGCGTAATTTGTCATTCCCCAGAGGGGGACAAATACGAGTATGCTCTACGATTCAAGTTTCAAGCTTCAAATAATGAAGCAGAGTACGAGGCCCTGCTAGCCGTTATCCGCATGTGTAAGGCAGCCGGGGCAAGGAAGGTGGACGCCTGTTCTAATTCTCAACTCATCGTTAGCCAATACCACGGTGACTATGAAGCCACCCATCCGGTCATGATTAAGTATCTTCAGGCGGTGAAGGAAGAAGCCGGGGCATTTGATGAATTCAAGTAAGTCAAGTACCCAGGTCCGAGAATAATCAGGCGGATGCATTATCAAAACTGGCGTCATCCGCCACTTGTGATACGCCTAGGTCAGTCTTCTGGGAAGTCATGGAAAAGAAAAGCATTGAACATGATCCCATTGGAATTCTAGATCGAAGCGCTACCTGGATGGATCCCATCCGGGACTACTTGGTAGACGGCACTTTGCCGGGTGTCTCTTTAGAAACGGCTGCTCTCAAGAGACGAGCATTAAGTTTTGTCATGTATAAAGGTGAACTCTTCCGAAAGGGTTACCTACAACCGTTATTCAACTGTGTAACCCCAGAAAGGGGAAAGGAAGTGCTAGATGAACTTCATGCCGGCTTCTGTGGATCACACATAGGCGACAAGATTCTTGCAAAGAGAGTTAGGCGGCAAGGATATTTTTGGCCAACCCTTGAGGCAGATGCACTAGATTTGGTAAAGAGATGTGACAAATGCCAGAGGTTTGGCCGGCTAATCCGTCAGCCGGCTACTGATCTAATGGCCATCTACAGCCCTATTCCATTTTCCAAATGGGGCATGGATATTTTGGGGCCATACACACTTGCCCCAGGCAACAGAAGATACATTTTAGTAGCCGTTGATTACTTCACAAAGTGGGTTGAGGCAGAAGCGGTAAAGGGCATCAAAACTAAGGATGTCATCTCCTTCATCTGGAAAAATGTCATCACCCGGTTCGATGTTCCTATGTCAATGGTTTTTGATAATGGTCCGCAGTTCGAAACGCCTGTCCTCGAAACTTGGTTGCAAGACCAAGGAATTTCCCATTATTTTGCATCCGTAGGCCGTCCCCAAGCAAACGGTCAGGTAGAAGCTTTTAACAAGCTCATCTCTGGCGGAATCAAGAAAAAGATTGAAAAAGCAGGCAGTCTTTGGGCAGAGGAGTTGACCCATGTTCTTTGGTCTATCAGAACAACTGAGAAGGGGCAACCGATGAAACCCCATTTCTTATGGCTTACGGCACAGAGGCGGTGCTTCCCATTGAATTGTATGAACCAACACTTCGAATCATGCTGTATGATGAAGACGCAAATTGGGAGGCCATGCGTCTGGCTTTGGATTCTCTTCCTGAAAAAAGGGGTAATGCCGCCTTACGTCACGAAATATACCGTCTGAGAATGACGAGAGCCTACAACAAAAGGGTGCGCAAACGACCCCTTAAAGTAGGAGATTTTGTGTTACGAAAGCTTGAGGCAACCGGTAGGGCGAATGAAAATGGAAAATTAACCCCAAATTGGGAAGGACCCTACCGGATCTTTGAAGAAGTTAGAAACGGCACTTACCGCCTAGAAACCCCAGACGGAATGCGGTTGCCTCGTACCTGGAACGTAGATAACTTGAAAAAGTACTACTTCTAAGGAATTTGTAATTTTTGTAAATAGTATTGAAATGTGAAAGTATATAATTTCCATTCATCCAAATTGTATTAGCACCTGTCTAGTGCAAAAACACAGACGGAAGAAAAACTTCATTAAACATCACTGCTCCAAAAAGAGCAGTCATCCGGCGATTACCATCCGGGTGAAATCGTCGAAGAGGACAGCTCCCTTCCGGGTGGTACATTGTCCTGGCGATCATAAAACTCAAACGGTATTACTAACACCCCATTGGAAGTAACAAACAGCCGTTCGAAATGATCCATTGCATCTAGGATTCAGCCGGCATAGACCCAAAAGTTGTCCATGCGACAAAATCAAAATCCTAGTAAAAACACCAACCGGTTTTTGCAGCAAAGCACTACACACGGTTAGGTAATCCAGATATACACTCATTTTGAATGAAAAAAAAAAAAGAATGATGTTACTCCAAGTATAAAATCTCAAGTTATATTAATATGGGTTAGGACAACCGGGCCTTATCCAAAGGATACCCAGACGGTTGTACCACCTATCCGGTCGCCTATGAAACGGTTGCTTGTTTACTGTTGGAGTAAACAACCAACCATTTCAGGGCATCTTATTATACTATCCGGTATATTGCAAACCAAACAATCATTACCCAGCCGGCTGTCTTTGAAACGGCTGCCTGTTTACCGTTGGAATAAACAGTCATCCGCTTCAGGGCATTTTATTGTATCAGCCGGTATGTTTGAAGGTCAAGGATCATTACCCAACCGGCTGTCTTTGAAATGGCTGCCTATTTACCGTTGGAATAAACAGTCTTCCGTTTCAGGGGCATCTTATTGTATCAGGCAGTATGAGTAGAGGATACTTGTAATACTTGTAAAAATTGTAATACTTGTAAAAATTGCAATAATTTAAAATTTGCAAAAGAAATAGGTAAATAGCAAAACCGACTGAGTCGGCTAGTAGATTAAATTTAAAAATGTTAACCGGACCCTTGTCCGGAGAAAAGTACATTGATGCACACGGCACGCAGGCCGGTAAAAGAAGATAAGAAAAAAGAAGAAAAACTTCATTGCTGCTCCTGCACCTGCTCCCGAGCCGGCTCCTAAGTCTGCGTCTGCTGCTCACCCTCTTGCTGCTCTTCTTCGACCAAACCGGCCCACTCATCGAAGGAAGCAGGCGGGTCTAGGCCAAGCACCTTGGCATCATATACCTCTGAGGCATACTTATACCTAAGGTCGAAGAATTCGTAGTCATAGTCCGGGTGTATGAGCCCCCAGGCGAGCTTCATGCGCTCCTCATTGTCGGTCTCGTTCTCAGCAATCAGGCGGCGTTGTTCTTTTTCAAGCTCTTCTTTATGAGCCGCCTGACTAGAAGCAAGTTCATTTTTAAGCCGGTTGTTTTCATAGCGAAGGTTGGTGTTTTCCTTGTCAACTCCTTCCAAAGCCTTGAGATCGGCTTGGAGATTCTTGACATTCAGATCTAGTTCATCCGCCCTCGCTTTCTCCGCCTCAGCAGCCGCAATAGTCTCTTTCAGCAAATCCTCCTGTTCCAACTCTCGTCGTTTAGTTTCCATGTCATATCTAATGGCATTGTATTGGAAACATCAATGAGCTCAGATGCCCGTCTTTGGGCATCCGTTACCTCCTCTTGCTTCTTGCGCAAGGGGACTTGAAGCCCATCAACTCTCAGCATCACCTGTGATATCAGCCGGTAGAGGAATGTTAGAATTATTTTGTAAACAACAACTAAAGCGGCAAACAAAGAAATTACAACAAGGTGATGCATCCGGTAAAATTACTTCAGCCATGAGAGAAGTGATTCGGTCAATGTTGACTGTATGCACAGCCGGCACAACCTCTTTCTCGGTCCGGGTTAGGGTCCGGATCATCCTCTTGGCGTACTGTTGATAGTTTGGTCGGCTGGAGGTAGCATCTGCATGAGAGATTTATCTGTCAGGTGTTGGGCATACGCCGCGCCAATATTCTGATGGTTGCCAGAAGAATCCCTGGATTGGCAAGCTTGGGTCTTTACTCGCATAGGCCCAAGCGGCCAGGGGGGATCAAAGGCAAAAGTTATACCTTTGTCGGACTGTGGGGTAATATCACCCCCAGCCGCGTTTGAGCCAGTACCCGTTTGAGTCTGGCCAGCCGGAGTCTCCGGCTCCTTTAAACCCCCATCTACCACTTCTATGGTGGGAACAATTCCACTAAGGCTCTTGCCTGCATTGGTGGGCCTGCCTCCTGTAGGCGGTTTTGGAATAGATTTAGCCGGCGAAGGAACCGGCATCTTTAGTACCTTTGTCGCAGGCAGAGGAATGTCCCCCGCCGGTCTCTTGACCATCTTGGACAAGGAGCGAGGAACGGCTTTGTTCCCGGCCTGCAAATATACAAAACCAACCGGTTAATGTTAACACAGCATACAAATGCTACAACCGGTGAAGTAGATGAAATAAATGTTACCCCGCCGTCTTTAGTCGCCAGCTGCGACTTTTTCTTCTCAATTTGCTCCTTCCGGAGCAGAGCGGCTGAGGTAGCCGCTGTCTTCTCTTTGGGTAGCTTCTTCGTAGCTACTTCTGCAAAAACAAAATAAGAAACGTTAAAATGCAGTATAAAGTGGCAGTGTTAGGCGGCAAAGGCTGGTGAATAATAAAAACCTACTCTTAGGGAACATGGTGCTAAGGTTACAAGCGGAGAGAAACGCCTCATCTTTGAACCAGTCCGGGTGGGGCACCCAGAATTGGGGAACTATTATCTTGCTCCCATCATCCAAGCGGAGGGTTGTCTTTTTTAAGAGACCCTTCTCCATGATTTGGTCCCATGCCTCGCTTGGCACTCTAGGCAGAGCACACTTTCTACCAAGCAAAGTTGGGTTTTTATTGTATCTACGCAACCGGCGATTAAGTTGAGGAGATGGCGAAGAGACGGCATAAAATTTGCTCTTCCAGCTACTCCATTTGGACGGTTTGTCCAACGTTGTCATATATTCCGGGTGTGTGGTTAGAGTATACCATGAATTCCACCCACCCGACACCCTGCTGAGATAATGCATGTGTGCAAAAGCTTCCCAGCTTGGTTTGACCTCCTGCATCTCGCAGGCGGCAATGTATCCAAGAATGTTGACCCATGAATTAGGGGTCAACTGCCATACCCCAAGTCATACCCCCTTAGTATGGCTTTTATGCAGTGATGAAGGGGGAACCGGAGGCCGGCTGTGAATACCGCCTCGTAGCAGCCGAAGTAGTTGTCGGCATTGTCCAAGTTGTCGGTCCAAACGACGCTCGCCTCTACAGGTGGTACAACCACTTCCCAGTCCTCCCCTATCGGCTTCTTCTTCAAGAAATCAGGTAGTGTTACGTTTAGAGTAACCACATCCCTGGCGGACATAGTCATATCGGTAGGGTCACCTACAACCGGCCACTTATAGGCTTCCTCATTAATATGGGCAGCCGTTCCAGGAGACTCCTCATCAGACACGAACCCCTCGTCATCTGATCCCTCACCGGATTCCTCGGCATTAGAACCAGAGCTACCCCATATGTTATCACCCGGTGTGCTCAGGGAGGGTCCTTTTAAGTGGATGACTTGTCGGGCCGTCGTAGCGGGACTTCTTTGGGAAAAAGAACTTGAATAACTTTGTTTTTTTGAAGGAATCATCATTTTCTATCAGAAAGGCTATGTCATTTACAACCGCGGCGTATTTCGGATGCTTGAAGGCCCCGCTGACCCGAAGTGATTTAGAAAGATTCTTTTTTATCGATGGTGATCGGTCATGGTATCCATAGCGTTAGAACCAGAGCTACCCCATATGTTATCACCCGGGGAGTCCTGCTGGGCATTCTCATTTGGAACCCCCTCAGACGATTCCTCCGTCTGATCGTCATTTAAAGGGTCAGCCGGATCTATGGCTGCATCATCGAACTTGTAATCAGGATTTACTGTCGTCCATCTAGTCCGGGCCATTCTGTCCTGCACATGAACAGAAACGGTCGGATTCGAAGTAGGTGAAGGTTGTCCCAAGCACCCCCAGACGGCAGTCCCAGTCCTAGACTCAGCCGTCTCTGGTAACCGGCTGACCACTGTCGTAGGTTGTGTCGTGTTTATATTGGTGGAGTCCATATCCTAACTCTATATGCACAGCTGGTAAATAAAGGGAAAAGAATTACAAAGGGTACAGACGGTACCTTAGAATATGAAGCTTGGTATATGGAAATTGGCTTGAAGTCACCTCAGGTGGAGAACTCCACGAATGTGTTTAAAGCTGAAAAAGACAAAAGCACAAGTTAGCCGGTTATTCATAAACTCATTCAAAGATACCACAGACGGAATTATCCGCCTGTGGTAGCTAGACGACTGACTAAACAATGTGCGAAGTTCATCCCAAGATATCCCAGACGGTATTCAGTGGGTGGGTTCGAAAAGACCCCATGCGGTGCAACACCGGATGGGGTGTTATGATTCAAGATAGCAAATTGCTCTCAAAAACCCCAGGCGGAGTAAAAGACCGGTTGGGGGATTATGACAAACATTTTTAAAAAATAGCTAGATTAAATTGTAAAGTTCACTCCATGATACCCCAGACGGTATCAAGTGAATTGGGTCAGAAGTACCCAGATGGTGTAAGACCGGATGGGGGCTATGAAAAGCACTTGTAAAAAAAAAAAAAAAAAAAAAAAAAAAAAAACTAATCAAGTTGAAAGCACCCCAACCGGTATAGGTACCGGCTGTAAGCGCTGCAAAGACTATTGAGGTCATTCAACGATACCCCAGACGGTTAAATACCGGATGGGGATATGGTAGGACCAACTTCAAAGAAGCCTGTTCAAGAAGGCCCTAGACGGTGAATCACCGGAGGGGGATGCATTGAATACAATAAAAAAAAAGGGGGGGGGGAGGGGGGCGGTTGCTCTGGCTGAGGTAGTTCAGCTACTAAAAGGCCATGAAAAGCAAAGGATGGTGACCCAAGCGGTATTAAACCGGTTGGGGGTTTGAAATCATTTCTTGGCAAACACTCAGAAGTACCCCAGGCGGTGTTTCACCGCATGGGGTCTTTTCTTGAAATCATTGCTTGAAATCATTGCTTTGAATGCCTGGCTATTTAAAGAATAGAGAAGTCTATTTGAGAATGGGTCAAAGACCCCCCAAGCGGCTTTCAAGCCAGATATATATTTTTTTATTGAAAGGTATCCCAACCGGTATTTTACCGGTTGAGTCGCTTTTTAGAAACAGCAAATGAACAGGGCCCCCGGGTGGTGTTACACCGGATGGGGGTGTTTTGAATGCATGATGTTTTAAAGTTGAAGATCCCTCAGACGAAGCTATGGCGGTTGAGGGAGAGAATTCAGTACTGGGATACGGGCTAAAGACCCCCCAAGCGGCATGCAACCCGGATGGGAAAATCAGTCAAAAACCTCAAAATCAGAAGTTAAAAGTAAAAGAGAAAGGGGCAGCCGGTACCTTGCTGGAATTGAGGAAAGTACACTCAGCCGGAAGCCGGATGTCAAAGTTTCTGAAAAGCTGGATGCAAGAAAATTTTGAAAGTAGCAGCCGGTATTAGAGCTCTCTCAAAAAAATTTTGAAAAATATGTAAAGTATGGAGGAGAGAAAGAGTGTGTCTCTTATTTATAGGAAAGGAGCAGAAGGCAAAACGGTGCCTTCTGCCCTAAAAACTTGAAATTCGAAAAAGGGAGGGAAGAAGACGAACCGTCTCTTCCCATACGTCTGACACTTGTCACAGGCGACACGTGGACATGCCACGTCACACCTGTGAGGGGCAGATGTTTAGGGCAAAAATACCCCTTAGACACGTGGCCCTATAAAGGCCTACCACGTGTCAAGTTTGCAACGGTCAACAAAGGCTCAATCCCTTTGCGACACGTGTCATTGTACCCTAATTGAGGTACAGCTCTCCCCTACTATAAATAGTAAAGGCAGACCTCATTTATGGGGATCGACAACATATTCCAACAACCAACCAAACACAAAACCCATTGCAAAACAATACATTTATTAAAAAAATATATATCAAAATGACTAAATTTGCATTGTCGTTATGACGAGCAAAACTGACCTAAGGCAAAAGTCACCTGAGTCAAACCAACTAAATTGAAATCAAATAAATATAGTAAAAATTGTCATAAATAATGCAACCTTTTGAAGGTTGAATTTATTATACAAGACAACTTTATGATTATTTGTTGATATTACAATCTTGGGGTCTCAATTTTAAACAGGTCAAAAACTTGTAATGAAGGTCATATAATTGATCTAAATTATTAAATTCTGACTTTTGTAATATATAATTTTTGAATGAATGAATAATATTTTAAATAATATTTCCACCTCTCCCTCTCCCTCTCCCTCTCCCTCTCCCTCTCCTTCTCCTTCCCCCACCCCGTTCAACCCGTCCCTTGAAAAGCCCGCACGGCCCGTCTTTTTTGGGCGGGTTTGGGCACAAAATTTCCGGCCCGAAACTTGGCCCTGCTCAGCCCGGCATAAATTTTGTAGCTTCGGCCCGGCCCGCCCAATGATCACCTCTAACATAAAATAAGGTTGTTTATATTAGAGTACATTCACC